GAGATTGTAAGAACAAAAGAATGGCAAAAAAAGCATAGGGGCTGTTGAGTAAAGTGACATGGAGGAGTGCAACAGAATAAAAGCTTGGCAGCAGCTTTTCACCACTGTTTCTGGCAGCCCTATTTGCAGATTGGTGATCACATATTTCTGAAATCGGGAGTTTTCAATGTGCTCCATGAAACCTGAGTCAACTCCAAAAAGACAAGTATACAAAAAACAAAAAAACAGCAGTTTGTTAAGTTACAGTAGTAGTTGATTCAAGTGTGCAACAGGGGGCTTGGAATCGGTGTGTGTGTGTGTGTGTGTGTGTGTCTCACACATTCATTACATGCATATCAATCACAGACTGAGTTGGTCAGTGTATAACTTTAAAAAACTAGTAAAACATCAATTTATCTAATTAGTTACTATTTCTGAAGTAGAATCAGAGCATATCCATCACCTTAATGGTGCACAGAGAGAAGCTTTGTCAGTAGGTAAAATACAGATGTGACAAAAACAAAATAAAGGAGCAACGTGGCTCTTATTAAAATCACATTCATCATGTGATGAATCATGTCAGTTAAATATCTTAACAGACTATAATAAATACAGCTGAAGTTTACATAAACTTAGGTTGAAGTTATTATTATTACATTTATTTTGTAACCACTCCACAGATGTCATGTTGACAAACTCTCATTTTGCCAAGTCAGTTAGGAAGTATAGTTTATGCATGACAACTAGTTTTTCCACCAGCTGTTTAAAGCAGACTACGGTTTGCAGCTGCACATGGAGACAAAGATCTGACTTTTTGGAGAAATGTCCTCTGTTCTGATGAAAAAAAAAAAAAAAAATTGAACAGTTTGGCCACAATGACCATCGTTATTTCTGGAGGAAAAAGGGGGAGGCTCGCAAGCTAAAGAACACCCTCCAACCGTGAAGCACAACATCATGTTGTGGGGGTACTTTGCTGCAGGAGGGACTGGGGACGTCACAAAATAGATGGCATCATGAGGAAGGAAAATTATGTGGGTCTACTGAAGCAACATCTCAAGACATGAGCAAGGAAGTTAAAGCTTGGCCACAAGTGGGTCTTCCAAATGGACAACGACCCCAAGCAGACTTCCAAAGTTGTGGCAGATGACTTAAGGACAACAAAGTAGAGGTATTGGAGTGGCCATCACAAAGCCCTGACTTCAACCCTACAGGAAATTGGTGGGCAGAACTGAAACAGTGTGTGAGAGCAGGGAGGCCTCCAAACCTGAACTCAGTTCCACCAACTCTGTCTGGAGGAACGGGCTGAAACTCCAGCAACTTATTGGAAGAAGCTTGTGGAAAGCATCCCAGAATGTTTGACCCCCAACTTAACCAATTTAAAGGCAATGCTACCAAATACTGTGTATGTCAACTTCTGACCCACTGGGAAAGTGATGAAAGGAATAAAAGTCTTTTTATTCTACTATTATTCTGACATTTCACATTCTTAAAATAATGATCCTAACTGACCCAAGACAGGGAACGTTCGTAGGATTTAATGTCAGGAGATGTGAAAAACTGAGTTTAAATGTATTTGGCTACAGTGTATGTAAACTTCTGACAACTGTAGTGGAGGCAGAGAGGTGAGTCATGGCACACAGGGGTACGTAAGACAGGTAAATGGGCCAACATGTAAAATGAGTTTATGCCATCTGCAATTACATTTTTTAGCCCACTCTCAATCCTTAACAGTCATTAAATATAATATAGACAGTGAAGTGCTGCCATGTTGGCTCTCAGTACGAGCGATGCGTGAAAACAAGAACAAACTAAGTACAAAACAATAAGTGAGGATGACAGGAGAGAATGCAGCATCAACGCTGAATCTGTTTTCACATGCCACCAACTTACATGGAAAAATCTCTTTTTACACAGCAGCTTCAACTCACAGCTGTTCCATAAATGTACTTTCGGACTCACTCACATATTGTCTCACACACACACACACACACACACACACACACCTCCTGTTGTGTCACCACGATACACTTTCTCACACACACCAAAAGAAGTGAAAGTGTTGATTGAACACTGCCTTTGCTCCTCAGGTGTTAAAAATGTTCAATTAAATTTAAACCTGTGTTGTTCTACAGAATATTTCATATTTCACAGAAGAGGGATACTGAATTCTAATTTTGAAATATCTGCTCTAATTTAAAAAGTGTTTTTATGTGATAAAGCATAAGCCCTGTGGAAATAAATAAAATGTGTAAGAAGAAAGCAGATCTGACAATCTGACATACTGGCTTTGAGGCTGGCCTCATTGACATCAATCTCCCCTCTGACTGGCTCCTGGTACTGCAGGTAGGGATGGTAGCTGAAGGGTTCAGGGCTGGAAGTGGCGCTGGAGTAGCCGTTGGACACGTTCTCTCTGGGACTGTCTGTCCTCCTGGGCTGGACATCATCCATCACAGCCACCAGCTGGAAGAGACACACACACACAGAGTCAGAACTGTCCTAAAATAATCCTTGATAAGGAGCAAACTTTCCTCAAGTTAAATGTGACGGTCTACACAATGCAATTGCTGGCGGATAAACAAGCTGAAAACATACATACAAACACAGCCAGGTTCTATAGCATCTCTACTGTGCCATGATCACAGTGAGGCTTTTATGCAATTTATCTTGCCAACAGCGCAGATGCAACTTGCTTCATTCTGCAAGAAGTGCAGATGTGTGTGCAAAGAAACCAAACAGACCTGGACTCACAGTTCATTTGCTCTGAAACTTCTTACAGTGCATTACCCCCCAGCAGGCGCCACTTCAGCAACACAATAACATGTTTCTTATTGAACAAAGGAGTAAATCTGACCAACAATTCAGCAGATGGCCAGAGATAACCCAAGGCGAGGTGTGTATGTACAAAATTAGCAGTCAAACAAGATCTGACACGAGAATGAGAAGCTGTCAAACACAATGACACGGCTGCCACAATGAGACGGCAGCAGGCAAATGAACAGGGGATGGAGGGCAGGAGAACGACAAACAATCCTAATTAAGACAGGGATATGATGGCAGATAGAGTGAAGGGGATTGTGTGTGTGTGAGTATGTGTGTGTGTTCACTGAGATGATGTACCATCACGGCCACGTGGTTTGATAAATGGGCGCGTAGCGGCACGATGCTCTCATTAGAGGATGTCGGCTAAGGAAATGACCACTTAATGAAAAGCAATAACGGTACAAGGGATAGAAATACAACAACAGACAAGTGGAGGACGTCAATTAACAACAAGAGGCTGAATGTGTGTCTGTTTAAGTCTAAGCAAACAATAAGCACAGAGGAGGCGGCGAGATATGCATCATCCATCACACTGTGACACCGCCCCTCACCTTAACAGCCCATGATTTAATATCCTCATGACACCTGGCTTACACCATGCAAAGGAGAACTGCATTTGTGTGTGTGTGTGTGTGTGTGTGCGTGCATTAGAGAGTGAGTGAAAGAACAGATGAAGAATTGAAAGTCTGGCAGATGCAGAGAAGCAAGAGAAAAGAAAAGAGCAAACACCAGGGAAACAATCTGATTGTGCCGCTTGATGGATGCTTCTCGAGCTCTTTCTCTCTTCTTTATCTGCTTTCCTCTTTCTCTCCTTATCTCCTTCCCTCCCGAGACCCTGTCTCTCTTTCTCCAAACTTGCTGACAGCATCAATCAAAAAGACATCTTGGCGCATAATGTGATGTGCACACACGCCGATGAGCGTGTACAAAGACACGGCAATGAGCTACACTCAAAAACGATTTATTCATTCGGAACAACAACAAGCTCTTTTAATGTGTGTAGGGATGATGATGATGATGATGATTTGCTTTTCTGGGAGGGTTTTTTTTTTTTTTTTGGCTGAGACAGATGCTGATGAAGGCCACTCTGCTGCTTCCACTCATCACTCAAACACAAAAATCAACTAAATAAGTCATGTAATACTTCACTTAGAAAACAATCTCGCTGTATTTCATGATGAGGTCTTTCCACTGATCACACGCTTTGTAAACCATGACCTTTAACCTAGCCCTGTCCAATACAAGTTAACATCTGATCAAGGGCCTTCACATTCATTTGCACCTCATATAAAATATAGAATAGGATTCAGAGCAAGAGATTCAGTATGAAAGACCTGACAAACAAAAAGAAAGGTTAAACTAAAAGTAGAACCAAGCCCATGCAGACTAACAGGATGCCAATGAAGGTGACAGCTGATGGAAGCTTATGAGGCTCAAACTGAGGTGCGATAAAGTATCAGCATGTTAAAATGCTGATGGCTTGATGTACTACTAAGACGGTATTGAACATATCATTACAGATTATATTCAAGCTACTGTATCAATCAGCTGTTCTTTGGAAAAGAAACAACAATCATTAATATTAAATGCTGGGAAGTTTATTTTTCATCTTCTGGAGGAACATGCGAACTCTTCATGGTGCACTTCCTTAACACACTTTTTCTCTCTCCCTCCAGACTGATATGAAAAGGTATGTCTGCAGGTACAGGTTCAGGTTCCTACAGTGGAAAAGTCATATTAGCCTGTAGCCAAACCTGACATTTGACCTCCCCCACACAGGAGCAACAGAAAACAGGATTTCTATACTGTGATCAATAAATGTACACATTATTACTGAGACCGCTTTCACATGGGCTGTCAAGGCCAACAGCCAATCAGATACAAAGCTGCTCCATTGTTATCGTTTTTGAATTTTTAATGGTCAGGATATGAAATTACTGCAGCTGTTGTCAGCAGTAGATGTTTATATGTTGCAACAAACAGATGGAACAGTTGAGTGTTTTTAATTATTCATTGCACTTGCTAAGAATTAATTAGCCAAATACAGAACATCCTGCATGGAACACAGCGGGGGGAGGACTGTTTGAGAAGCATTGACGCTCTCGGAGATATAAACACTGTATACCGTCTGCAGTCACGATGTTCACACCCTGTACCATGCCATTATTTAAAAATACAAACCACAAAAACACAACTGTGGACACAATCTCAAGACACACACACCAACAGACATTTACAACAGTCAGAGGATGAACAGTGCCACCTTGCTTTAGCCAAACACAACTGCATGCTGGTGCCACTCATGCTTTACATAAGCAACAAACACACACACAACCTCACAAACATACACACTTCCCCATTTCATCCGCTGGTACTAATCAACCCATTTTTATACTTCTCTCTCACCACTGTCCAGTGCTGCGGTGTGTTCAGTGTGTGTGTGTGTGCGTACTACTAGTCTACTCAGATGCTCTGCTTTTGACCTGTTTATCTTACGATTGCCCCCCCTTAAAGTCAAGGGTTGGTAACAAAAGTCCTCCATGTGTGATTTACTTGCTGTTCAACAGCAGACATGATGTGCAGAAAGTAGGTTTCTCCACAGCTGTGATGAATTTTGACAGGTACAAAAGTGACGAAGTAAAGTATCTCACCGTTTGAGCTCTTGATAACAATGGCATCATGTGAGAGACTGCAATAAATTTGAAAGCGGACCTCTGGGCATGTTTTATACATGTACAGTAGCAGTTTTGTATTTGCAGGAATGTGTTTACAGTTTAGTCTATAATGTGATTTTTACATCATTTTATACTCAAGGAAACCGGGATTCTTATTTGTTAAATGCAAGTTTCCAAGATTGTGGAGAGCATGTTATGTAACCAAATCGAATCCAAAATCAACTTGAACTGAGACATCAGTATCGATATCTAGCTCCATTTACACACCACCAAACAAGAAATGAGGGGTACTTAAAGTCACACAAAGATACCTCCATGTACTCAAGCATGTGGCAAAACCTGTTCCATGTTCGAGAGTACATACTGTGTACACTTAATCTGCATACACACACACTTCCAGGGCACTGTAGGGCCATCAGAGCAATGTTTGACCTGTATTATTTAAACAAGTAGAAAATCAGCTGTATTACCAGTGAGAGCAGGGCTAATCCCACTTATACTCCAGCCTGAATCTATACAGCACACTACCAGATGTGGTGGATTACCTCTCAGGAACAAGCACACATCTGGCTTTAGGCCTGCATGCACACACCCATACTCCAATGACTGCACATGCAGACAGTGTGCAAGATTAGACAAGCAACCACAAAGACAGGTGATGAGTGTCTTCTGCTCATGAATTGAAGCCCACAGATATACAAACCAACTTGTCAGGGGCTCCTTAAAAATAATGAATACTATACAGAGACATCACAACTTGAACCTATTTGAATGTGTCTTTCTACTTGAAGAGATGTCAGCAGCTCCATACAGCAGCTAATACTTCATTGATCATAACATCTCTGTGATGCTTCCGACAGATTCGGCTAAACACTAACACACATGGTCTAAGCATTTACAGTCATGCAAACTTAGCAAACGGTGACCAGACCTCTTACTACAGTACTACTGTAATGTAAAAATAGCAAACTGGAAAAAAGATGACACATTTGCAAAATGAAGATCATTTCACATACTGATACATACAGTAGACACCTTCTTCGAACCTCAGTAACACTGCCGTGCAGCTGTCATACCTACATACCAAAGTCTGACCTTTAAATGTTATTACAGTACTGTACTTTCACTGCATACTTTTCAGCTGCAGCTGTTACTTCCGCATTCTTTTAAAGCTAAAATAGCGGCACAGAACTCAGCTGTGTGGCAAAATATTTGATAAAGTGTTAAAGACTGAAAATCCAGCCAATTAGAAGAGGCTCAATGAGACACTCAAACCTCCATTCACCAATTAGAGTGCAACAGGTGGAGCATCCAATGCATAAGAAAGGATAAAACATTTTCATATTATTAGCATCAAATAGTTCTGTGTGAATGGGACTGAGTTTTGGGTACTTTAGGATCCATAATTAATAATCAACAATTTTCCAAGGACAAGGGATAGAAACTCAAAAGGAAATATTCAACCCCAGTCCACCTATACTAACAGACAACCACATGCACACACATAAACAAAGGTTAAGGTTTTAAAGAAAAGAAAATTATTCTTCATGGCACTGAAAAGGGATGAGTTACTAGTGTCCCTCTCTCTCCCTATCTCTGTGCATCCACACTCACTCACATCTGTCACATCAGGCACAGTGATGGAGCACGTATGTGCCCACAGAGTATACACATCCATAAAAACACACACACACACATACACAAAGCAAACCACCAGCTGAGGTATTGCAGTGCTGGCTATGTGCTTTGACGGGTCACATTATTATTTATGCACACTCATAAAGGGAGAGAGTAAACTCTCCATAAATCACACATCCCTGAGAGGCCCAAAGAGAGGAGGAGGCATGAGGAGGAGGAGGAGGAAAAGAAACAGTGGAGGATGTGGGTGACAGGAGAGCTCCAGGCCTCGTATTTCTCACACCGGCAACACAAATATCAAACCGGCTCATTCATCATTTCAGCAGA